AAAAAAAATATTTTAGAAAAGGATTTTAATTAATTTAATTTTTAATTAATTTAATTTCCAAATTTTAATAATTCATTTCATGTTTAAATAATTGAAAATTAATGAATGAAAAGATATATTTTGATGGCATTTTCCCCCATTTCTCTTATCAATCATCTATCATAGTTTAACAAACAAACAAACATTTAATATTTTCATTATCATTTAATCTAACTCATTCATTAATTTTAATAATTTGTAAGATGAAAAAAATTTTAAATTTGTAAAGAGTTGTTGTTATATTTGCTGTAATATTTTAGAAATTAACTTAGATCATTTTCAATTCTTTTAATTTCTTTTTTATTGATTACATGAAAATTTAATTTCTTTCTCTTTTTAAAAAGAAAAAAAAAATTTATTTAAGCGCTTATTTTAATGTCTCTTTGATAAAATCAGCAATTATTTTAAAAAAAGAAATTTAAATTTGCATAATTATTATTCAAATTATATTTTCATTCTCATTTAAATGAAAACTTAAATTTCTTTGAACTAAATAACAGCAATAAAATTTTAAAAGTATATATTAATCATTTCATATAATACTTGTTTTTTTTTTTTTTTTGAATAATATTTTAAAACAATTTTTTGAACTACAAAATTTTCAAAAAAAAAACAGCAAAATGAGAAAAAATAAAAATCAATTTGTGTTTAATGTTAGAGTGAATTTTCAAATGATTAAAATGTTTATTGATTGAAACTAATTTTACTGAAAATTGAATCTGATTAAAATGTTGTTTACATATTTGTTTCCCTTTAGAAACATACAAAAGTGTTTATCCCATTTTAAAATATAATATATATTCCAATCAATAATCAACGAAAATACCCAAACAACTGATTGAAGAGAAAAAAGAGAGAGAGGGAGAGAGGGGGAGAGAAAGAGAGAGAGAGAGGGGAGAGGTAGAGAGATGTAAATAAATGCTAACAATATGAATGATTTACGATAACTAATAAAAATACAATATTTTAAAGAGGAGGGAGAGGGAGAGAGACGCGGAAAGAGATAGAAAGAAAAAAGTTGTAATAGGAAATTATTTTATAATTTTAACCAAAATTTTTTTTAAACTTTATATTAATTAGTAATTACCACTCCCCGTCCCTACCCGAAAAAAAAAAAATTTAAATACAAATGTGAGTGTAAGGTTAAAATTAAAGGAAAAGCTAAGCAAGTGACACATTTTAATGATTGTTTACGCAACAATGAATCCTTTTCGCAGATAATTCTGCCATTTATCAAATGTACGAAAAAAAAATCAATATTTATTGATTTTATTGATTTTTTTTTTAGCAATTTGACTTCATTAATTAATTTGTGATAAATATCAAACATTACACTTTGCTTTGTTTTTTTTTTTCCTCTTTTTTGTAAAAATTTAATATTTTTAATAAAAGAAAAGAAATGATACATTGGCATATTATTTTGAAAAATTCAAAGTATTTTGAGTTATTATTTTGAATCAGTGAATTTAAAATTTGTTATTGTTATTGTAGATTTTCACTTGACTTATTTGGATAATAGTACTTTTATTATTATTATTATTATTAAATTTCATTGCTTGCTTATTTATAATTAATATGATTATTTTTATCACATAATGATTGTTGATAATTATTCTATTGGATAATTCCTTCAGAAATTTATTATTATTTATGTATAATAATAATAATACATAATAATAGTATAAACATATAATATATATTTATAATAATAATAATAATAATAATAATAATAATAATAATAATAATAATAATAATAATAATACATAATAATAATATAAACATATAATATATATTTATAATAATAATAATAATAATAATAATACATAATAATAGTATAAACGTATAATATATATTTATAATAATAATAATAATAATAATAATAATAATAATAATAATAATAATAATACATAATAATAGTATAAACATATAATATATATTTATATTAATAATAATAATAATAGTAATAATAATTTGTATTCGATAAAGCTTTTATTATGCAGCGCAATAATTTGTAAAGAATTTAATGTAGTAAGTATTTTCTATATACTACAAATTATTAACTTTGCCATGCAAAACTATTGCAATAATTAGTGCTAATTATTCTATGCTAATTAGATGCATAGAAATAATATTATAGTATACGAATTGATTATAAGAATTGCAGCAAATTACATATCAAATGTATTACACATAAAATATACTATCGAATTAATTAACAAATAACTTTTTTTTTTTTATTTTTTATATATAATAAATTTGAATTTTAAATTGAATTAAACATATACAAATTATATTATTGAAATGCAAAAATGATGTAAAGAAAACATTTTTATGTGACAAAAACAAAAAAAAAAAATAAACAAAAAAAATGGTAATGTAAAATTTATCATTTATCATTAAATTTTACAATACATTTTTTTTATTATTATATTGTAATTATTATTTTTTTTGAATTTTTTTTTTCAATTTTTTATTTTTTGCCTGATAAACTATAAAATTAAAATGTAAATAATAAATTTTATAGTATTCATGCTGATTATCAATGATAAGTATTTATATATATATATAATATTAATAAAGTTGATCAAATTTCATCGTATTTCAGAAAAAAAAATTTACCAAATTTTGTTTGTTTTGAAAATTCATTAACAAGTAAGAAATGAAAAATTTTTTGACATTTCACAAAATTTATTCATTTTAGACAATAAAAATAGAATACAAAAATTTATGATAGAATGGAAAAATATTTCTTTTATTTTATATCAAACAATAATATATTTCTTTCATTTCATTTTCTTTCTTTCATTTTTTTCTTTTTTTTTTTTTTTGTGTAAATTTAAATGAATGAATGACGAATCGAAACAAAAATGTTTTCAAACAATCATAAATTTTCATTTCTTCATTCTTATTTTCTTCTATTTCACTTTTTCACTATCATTTTCCAAATGATTTTCAATCTATTATCATCATTTATTATCATGGTAATTACAATTATCATCATTCATTAATATTGTTACTATTATCATCATTAAATCATTATCATTACTTTTGGCATTTATCATCACTTTTAGTTATCATTATCATCACTTTTAGCGATTATTTGTATTTTTTGTATATTTGCATTTTTTGAAATTCTGAATTTAACTATAATAAAAATTAATTATATTTAAAATTTTGTTGAATTAATTGACTATCGTTTCTAATGTTATCAAAAAATTTGTCTATTTTGTAAATTTAATATAATAAAAAGTAGTATTAGAGAAAAGTTTAGTAATTATGAAATGTATAATTTAAAGATTCTTGAGATAATAATAAGCAGAATGAATTATTTCGAGAGAGAACCATTGTTTATTTTGTAAATATTTTGATTAATAATTACTTTTTTTTTTTTAAAATGAAAAAACAAAAAGTGCGACATTTCTTCTTACATAATCACATCTAATTAATTATTTGCTGTTTATTCTAAAAATATGTAAACAAAAAAAAAAAAAAAAAAAAAAAAAAAAAAAATGGAAATTCCTCTCCTCCACTCTCTTCCGTTTTATTAAATATATAAAATTTAAAAAAAAAAAAAAAAACATTCTGTATAAACAAACTGTAATATGCAGAAATTAAACACATTTTTGACTAATTTTTTAATAAAATTGCTGATCAAATATTTGACGATAAAAATAAAAAAGCATAAAATAAATACATCAACAAGTGAGTATTATTATTAATTTAAAATGAAAACAATAATATCAAATAGTAAACATAACAGGTAGTATTATTACATAACAATTAAAAATATAATTTACAATCTAAAGTATGAAAGATTAGAAATTGACGCTCAAATTTAATATAAAATGATAAATAACTTATTATTATTATTATTATTATTATTATTATTATTTAATTATAAAAATATTAACTTTTATCACTTCAAATGATAAAATAAATTGAAGATGCAAGAAAAATATTATTTTAAAAGCTAACAGATAACACAATTGGTATAATTTCAACAATGCAGTCTGTTTAATTTGTTCAATTTTTTATTTATTATTTATTAATGTAATAATCGATTAATTATTAATTTAGACAAGAATTCTTCATGAATTTCTTCCATCAAAAATTTCATGAATTATAGATATATAACATACATATTTCATTTCAAAACAAGGTATAATCTTTGACAAAGATAATATCATCTAATGAACAAATTTCGTGATAATTTAATAAAATTTCAAAAATTCGCCTTTCCATTTACAAAAATTAAAATATATATGTTTAAAAAAAAAAAAAAAAAACTAGAAACAAAATACTAAATAAAAATTAATTAACATTTCATTTAACCTAACATACAAAAATACATTATAAGTATTTTTATTTATGATTAAAAATGATAAAATCAAAATCTTGATAGCGTTCTTTTTTTTTTCTTTTTAATTCAAAAAACTAATTGATAAGATGTTAAAATGAATAAATTTAATGAATAAAAAATATTACAAAATTAATAACTTTTATAATTGATTCTTATAATACTATTCGATAATATATATCATTGATAAGCAAATGTATACAGTATGTTCATCCAGAAAATAAATGATAAAAAAAAAATGAAAGAAGAAAGAAAAAGATAAAAAAAAAAAAAAAAAAAACAAAAATTAAAATGTTCATTAAAAATTGCACACAGTAGTAATAGAAGTAAAAGAAATGATAGGAATGTTTTTATAATTTTAAAATTTGTATTTATACTAAATATATATATATATATGATATCTGATTGAAATGATAAATTTTGTAATGATAGAAATAAACAAAATTTAAATAATATAATAAAAATAATTTGAAAAAAATCAAAAAAAAAAAAAAAAAGAACTGGAACAATTATAATTATTTTCTCAAACTCATGTATATTAAGAAAAAAAATAAAACTATAAAAATTGAGAATAATTTTGGATGATAATTGATCTATATAGTTTCTAGATCATTTCGAATGACACAGATGGATGTGACAGTGCACTGTAATTGTCGCATGATGCAGAATTTGTTGTTGAAATTAATGAATCCAAATTTGTAAAAGCCGAATAATACGAACCGGTCATTGATATCGATTGTAGTGATATGGATGTGGGACTGAAATGTACTTTTGTTTTTTTAAGTATTTCGTTTTTTTTTTTTTTTCCTTTTCTTTCTTTTGATCAAGAAATAAGTGATTTTGAGGAAATTCATCAATTAGTAAAAAAGATAATTTTTATTTGTGAATAACAACTTTTTATTAAATTGATTATTTACAATCGGATTTTGATTGAAATTTCCAATTAGCTTCATGATTAAATTAGCTTTTCCAATCTCAAAATTATACCTCAAAAACTTCAAATTTAATCATTTAATTACAAAATAATTGATGTTAATCGATCCTAATGTTGATAATTATGCATAACATAAACTAAAATTATTAAATTGAGCAATTTCTTCATTGCTGTAAAGTATAAATTGCCAAAGTTATTCCTTTTATCATCAAAAAACAAAAAAAAAAAAAAAAAAAAAAAAAAGGAAAAGGAAAAGGAGAAGAAAAGAGAAAATGAAGCAAGGTTATAGTAAATTTAATACAGTAAAAAAAAAAAACAATAAATTTAGTTTTTTTTTTTTTTTTGAAAAAAGTTATTTTTAATTGTCATATATAAGCAATAAATCCATTCAAAACTTGCCAATCATTCTAATTGTTATGATAATCAAAAAATCTTTATAAATTTGATGATTTATAATCAATTTATAATATAGCCATCGTACAATTCAAAAAAAAAAAAAAAGAATTAAAATTAAAATTATCAGGATGAATCATTCCATTTGTTAACAATACAAATTACAAATTGACGCACATGATCAATGAACAGCAAAAAAAAAAAGCATTTGTAAATAATAAAAGCATAAAATATTTGAAAACATAGCAAAAATAAAAATTAAAAAAAAAGCATTTGTATTTTAAAATATCAAATCATTTACAAAGAGAAAAAATAAACAAAACTGATAATGATAAGAAAACCTTTCAACAAATATATTATTATAAGTAATTTTTTTTTTTTCCTTCCTCTTTTCAATTAAGAATGAAATGAAATATTCTTTTTCTTAAAAAAAAAGAGAATTGCTACATTTTACATGCATTATATTTCATATCATATCAGTAAATAGTTGTAAAAATTTTTTAAAAAAAAGGAATTATCTCAAATGTTCATTTGTGTATTATTAGAAGAACGGAAAATGTAAACATATCAAATATCAATGAAGAAATTTACTACATCCAGAAAAGTGTGATAAAACAAAATTATTAAATAAATGTTAAGATACAATGCTGCAAAAAAAAAAAAAAAAAAGAAATTACTTTGTTAAAGAAAATTCAGAAAATGAAATATGAAATAAAAGTAACAAAAATTAGAATAGAGAAAATAAAATAAAGATTAGAATATAGGCAATAATAATAGTAATAATTAATAATAATAAAAAAGTATCGAAACACATTGCTTCATAATATATACTTTGGTAAATAAATTCGTACAACAAATACTTAAAAATGAAACTTTTAATGGCAGAAAAACTTTTCATCTTCTATTTAAACCACATTTTCGGATTGTAAAAATTATTCTTTTAAAGTTTCATTTTTTAAGTATTCCTGGGAAGCATTAATGCAAGAGCTGAATAAAACTGGTCTTTTAAATTGTTTAAAATATTCCTTAAATCATCTGCTCTTTATAACATGTTTAATGCTACATAGGGAAACTTTTACCTAACTTTTCCTATTCCATAAATAAATAATTGGCAAAAGAATAGTTGTACAATTATTATTATTAATATTATTATGAATTTTGTAATAAATGTAAAAAAAAAAAAAGTGTAGAAGAAGTAACCTTGACTTTCAAACATATTCATAAATCATTTTTGTATCAATTTACACATAGTTTAACTAATATAACTAATAATACTTCTGTTACTTCTGTTGATTGGATCACTGATAATTAAATGATAAAATAATGTATTGAAAAGAAGCTAACTACATTCAACAAATACTACATTTGCTATCATTCATATCAGTTTTACAAAAAATTTAAATACTATATAGAGAAGCTTTAAGGTAATTTTTTTCTGTTCAACACAGAAAACGATTAGCACAAGGAATAGTTGCAAAATTATTAAAAAGCAACACATTACACTCATACAACAAACGGATGTTAATTTTAAGCAATCTAAAATATTTAATACATGCAAGATTTAGAAAACTGAATCATTTATTTAAAAAAAAAAAAACAAAAAAACAAAAAAACAGAAAAATAGTGTTAAAAAAACCAGCAAATTAACTAATATATATTTTGAAAAATAAAACATACTAAAAGCCATTTCATTGCTATCATAAGTCAATTGTGTGCTTTGAAATTAATAAATACAAAAAAAAAAAAAAAAAAAAGAAAAAAGAAAAAACTAATCGAATCATATCAATAAGAAAATAAATAAGGAGTAATAGAGATTTTATATTTGTTAGTGGTGAATAGCAAACCTTATAAATCGCAAATGAATTAGAAGCACTCAAAAAAAAAAAAAAAAAAAAACACAAAAAAAAAAAAAAAACAATATTACATTTTTGTAAACAATATTACATTACAGCAAACTTTCAACTTAAATGTTTGCATGCACTAAAACGTTTTGCAAATAATTATCTAAATGATTTTGTTGAATGTCAGTAGCTAACATGAAATTTGTCGATAACATTTCACCGGTGTTCACCTGAAATTGAAAGTGAAAAAAAAAAAAATTTAAATATCACCCAATAAGAAATAATCGATCTAATCAATTGAAGAAAATTCTTAGTTGAAAAATTTTTAGCCTGAATATATACATATTTCCAATTTAGTAATTTCATAGTTTTTAATCCTAATACAAATGATCAAGGATAAAAAAGTGAATTCAAGGTTACTTCTTAACATTTTCTAAGCAATTTTAACAAAAAAAGGGAGAGAAAGAGAGAAAAAAATTAGATCTTAAAAATATGCGAAATGTTTAAATCAAACAATTTATCATACTATTTATGTAATACAATGTTGATGAAATAATTAATGAATACAGTTACAAAAAAAAAAAAAAAAAACGAAAATAAACAAAGATATTCAAATTTTAGAAGAGTTTGTAAACAAAGAGAAGAATCAAGTTCGCTGTAGAACTTACAGAAATTAATTACCACTTGGCGATGAAGAAGCATTACAAATGCTTACAATCTCTGATTTCGTGATGTTTGTCGAGGTAATTGTCCCATTTGATTATTTCTAACTTCATTGATATTTGATGCCATCATACCAGTTAATGTAATGTTGTGAGAAGTGATAAACTGTGTACCACTACCTGATCCATCACTTCGTACAACATTACTCATTCCAGTTTCCACATCTGACAATGGAGCAACTCGTTCTAATTCTGATGCTAAGCCAAATTCACGCTTACAATAATGAACATCACATGATGGTATCTCACGACGCGAAAATACTTCAGCAACAAATAATGCCTAAATTCATATTTCGTTTTAAATTTATTTTCTTTATTTTAAATTCGTATTATTTACTTTAACTCTTACATTTAACATATTCAAAAAGAAAAAAAAAAAAAGGAGAATGTTACTTTTAATTAAGTTAATTTCAAAACAAAAATAAAAAGTTATAATTTGACAATAAAAAAAAAGAAAGAAACGAATAACCACAACGATGCCAATTGCAGAACCAAATAATGAGCCAACTAATACATCCGACCAATGATGCTTATAATTGCTAACTCGAGTATATGCCACAAATGCAGCGCCACCAAATAAGGCAAATTGAATTACAGGTAAAAGTAAACGACTAAATAATGGTCGATAGAGTCGAGCTTGCAAGTAAAGCTGTAATATTGAATCAATAAATTGTTTGAAACAATTTTTGTGAAATTTTTTGAAAATTGAATAAAAACAATGCCATAATTTATTGTATATATAATATTTAAGATACATATATTTAGAAAAAAAAAAAATTTATTTGTACTACTAAACTTGAATTAACATATTTAATGCATCTTCAAAAAAAAAAAAAACGGAAAAAACGGAAAAAAGGAAAACTCACTGCTGTATACCATGCTGCATAAAAACTGAAAGCAGAATGACCGGAATAAAATGAAAGCATAGATTCATGAATAAGATATTTATCTGTACCAGTACATTCAAAATCTGTGATATATTCATGCGAATTAATCGGACATGTTTCAAAACCCTGAAATATTCACTTAAATTTAAAATAAATTGAAAAATTTTTTGAATTCTAATGCTTTACAAGGAATAACTGAAGCTGATACAAATAAAAAGAAAAAAAAAAAAGAATGATATGTATTAATATTATTTATTAAGATGTAAATATTATAAAGACTAAAATAAAAAAATTCATATTAAATCAAAAAAGAAAAAATCAAATGTTATAGTTTTGTTTCGATTCATTTAATATTACAAAAATTTCACATTAATTATCCTTAACTAACAATCCATTATAATAACTACAAGATGAAAATAAAGATTAATCATCTACAGAGCTAATGCCATATATATATATATATACTTAATACATATCCAAGAAGAAAAGAAAGAAGAAGTAAATCCAAATTTTATAAAAGTTATTTGAAATTATTTATTTTTGAATAATAAGTAGCCTTCCCAGAATAATTAAATTTAAAAAAAAAAAAAAATGCTCATGTATGATAAAAAAGAAAGATGCGGGGTAAAATTTTTACCAAACATTCTTATGTGTGCAATTGAGAATGTAAAATTTATGATATCACAAATCATGCATATGATATCAGAATTGCTTAAAAGTTAGAAACATGCAAGTGATATAGCTATGCTTGCATTTACTTCTGCACGCAGATATATGTGTAGTAGTGTATATGCATGAATGCATAAGTGTATAGTTTTGGTGCATAAAGATGAAATAATGCTTTAAAAACAAATGAATAAAACAATTTTGAATATAACTTACCTTTAAAACACCTGATGATTTGGAATAAGCCTACAAAAAATAAAAATATCTAATCTAACGGAAAAGAAAGAAAAAAAAAAAAATGAAGAGTTCGATGCAAAATGTTATGGCGGATGATTTTAGAAAATTTTCAATAACTGATAAGATAAAAAAGATAAGAAATCCTTTTTTTTTTTTTTTTTTTTTTCAAAATAATTATTCTCAATAAAAATTTCAACTAACACTATAAAAAATTCTCTATATTTTTTCAAAGTTTTGCAAGCAGAGATTATGATTGCAAAATGATATGATTCCAAGAAATTTGTGCATTTCTTGAGAGTTAACACAAATACTTTTATACTAATTTACAAGAAAATTTTCCAAAATCCACCATCTTTTTTGCAAACCTTAACTCTTCATACTTACACGTCTGATTGCTAAAGTACGATTACTACTTGATCCACCAATAGCAATATGTTGAATTTCCATATGCTGCAAAAAATTTTTAGGGTAACACACTATATGTGTTCCGATACAACGCCAATATTAGTCCATCTCTCAGCAATGAACTAATTAATCATTACTTATTATACAAGCAAGCTAGTAATTCTTGTAAGTATTGCAAGGTATTTAGAATTATGAGACTAACAAAATATATTATTCACATTGTTACTTCTATTAAATCAATCAATCACTATCACAGTTTCATCTTTCTGTCAGTGTCATTGTTCTAGCATTACAATTAATAATACTAATTAAGAAATAATGATCTAAATTATAAACAATAAACTCAAATTTCAATTTTTTTTTTTTTAAATTCAGGTTTTCCTTCTTGGAAATTACATCAATCCTAATTTTTTCATCTCTTATCCATCATCCATAAGCAAAATGCTTCATTTTTGGTTGCATGTGCATGTTAAGAAGCTTCTTAGAACTAAAATAATGAGAAAAGGTATTAAAGTAACTAAGATTATGAAAAAATATAAAAAATGCGAAGTAAGAATTAGTGCCAAAAGTGCTATTAAAGATAAGTGAATTAACAAAACCTTTGTGTTGATGATTATTTTGCAAAGCATAAAGTTGTTGGTGAAACAAATAGTGAAAATTTTAAGTTATAGAAGATACTTGAAATAAATTAAGAAATAAATGATCAAACGAAATACATAAATGAATAGAAAATGTATCAAAACCATAAAAGTGCAGCATTAAAATGTTAGCAGTGAATTTGAAAATTTTGTTTTCTAAAATATCTCGAGTGAAAAGGAAAAATAAATATTAATACAAGCATATCAGAGAAATCTAAATACACTCTTATATAAACATGCCCAAAAATTCTAAAATGTACCTTTGGTTTGCAAACTGCTATAAAATGAGGCCTGTGGCGTCCAATGGTGTATTTCGCTATATCGACCATTAACTGATTGAAAATGACACCAATAAGGAAATATCCTGAAATTTTAAACAACACAGATAAATAAAAGTGAATATCATAATAAAGTGATATCACGCTTATAATATGTTTCAAAAATCAAATCAATTTTTCATTTTTTCTTTCATTTTTTTTTTTTTTTTTTTTGGGAGGGGGGAGGAGAGAGGAAGAGAGAGAGCTGTAAATGGATATGAATTATTTTCATAAAACTGGCGGAATTCCTAAAAAAGGAAGATGAATATTTGATAAGTTTTAAAAATCAAATCCAATGTATAATCTTAGTAACAATAATAATGTAGTATATTAGATCTTTAATAACTGATAATTAAATCAAGCCTCTAAGGAATTTAGACGAGTGATCATACTATCCTTTAGTGGCTTTGCTATTATGTTTGAAACTAAAATTTCTAACATATGTAATTTTGTGGGAACAACAAACTGGAAGCATTTTTGTTATGTTATTAAGCATAAATTATACTTACCAAAGAAAACGTAAAGACGAACAACAAGACGTGGTATCACGTACCGTTTACACCGATAATGTTGAAATTCATTTTTACATTTCCGTTCCCATATTAATACACGAAATGTTTCCGTTAATATAATCTGAAATTGATTTCTGGTTAAATTAAATACTCTTTTTACTAGTAGTGATTATCGAGAATTTTTTTTTTTGAAGAAATTTCTTCGTGTGCTAAGGTCGGATTATTAGTTTATCTCTATGAAAAGTAGTGATGTGTTCAATTTATTTGAACATGGGACGAGTCGATATTGATTCTAAAAAGGAAAAGAAAAGAAAAAAAAGATGGGTAAATAAGTTTACAAGAATTGCAGGTACAACGAGACCAATTACAATAAGCATTTGTCGAGAAACGGTAGATGGTCGATACGGATAACGAATTGATTCGTCATCGCAATAAAATCCACGTTTGTACGGTTCAACCCATTTGTGAAATATTAATAATGGTATAGCTGAAAATTTAAAAAGAATGATTTAAAACTCTACGAGATAAACGGTGAGAACCGGAAATAAACAACAAAATGCTAAGAACGCAGCTTAATAAAACTTATTAACAAATAAAAACAAAAATCCATCAATAAGTGCAAAGAAGCTGTTTTATTGGTAGAAATCTGTTTGTATAAAAAACACTATTTATTAGTAAAAGTTGAAAAAAAATACCTATTGATAGCATTATTTATAAATAAATGACAAGTCATACTTACTAGCATTATACAGTAAGGAAGTATTAAACTTACAAAATTGATTATTTACATGAGAAAAAGGATAAAATTTTCAACGAATATTTAATATAACTTATCTATTATGAACATCAAACTACCATTCCTTAGTACATGCAAGATAAGAAAGAATACTTACTAGCATTATTCCTTATCAGTAAGTGGCAAAGTAGTTTTTACAAGCAATGTCACTTTTAAATACACAAATTTCGTGCTAGGCTGTTAGAAGACTGAGTGCTATGAATGCCTTAAGTCTTTTTTTTTTTGTCATTTATAAATGTTATTAAGAAGACTCAATTAATATTTAAAACAAACTATACCAACCACATAATGCTAAGACAGCAAAATCAGCAGTAATTCTTGAGACTCTGAGCTCGACCATTTCGGTTTATTCACCTGCTATGTCGAATTTTTTCAGCGATGAATCTGTTTAATACAGTAATTAAACTCGCATTACACAGAAAGAAAAAAAATCGAATAATCGATATGATAATAATCGATCTTGTGGATCTTCCTTGAGTAATTTATAAAATGATGGTTGATTATTCCTGAAATGAAATGAAATTATTATACACATCAAAACTTTTCAATAAATAATAATAATATCTAGCGAAATTCTCAAAAGGATAGTTATAAGACATTTAATTTGTAAATTTCAAAACTCTATCAATAAAATTTCGCATCCCGAAGAAAAAAATCTCAAATTGAAAATGTCAGTTTGAAAATTTTCATAGAAATGTTTTAAATGATCGTCTTATCCTTTGTCTTCTTTTCACTGTCGTATCAACTTTGCAAAATGATAAGAAAGTTTCATTCATTAATACCAGTAAATTTTTGAGAAAAATCTCGAGTTATAGGAAAGTAAAAACGCATAAACGATATTGTTCATTAATTATAATGTTGATAATAGATAACATTAATTAAAATTATAATATATTAATGACAAAAATTAAAATTATAATATTCCAGAAATTATGGTATTAATAATAAAAATGATTAAAAAGCAATCCCAATAGCCCGATTATTCCATGTTTTTTGGAAATTACTACAGAGGATAATAAAAACAACAGAACTGAAATTAACCAATAGTAACACTAAAAAAAAAATCAATTTTTTCGCTAGTTTAACTGAAGCTATAAGAATGGACACTGCAAATAACAAGATTGCTTTTTTAAAAACAAAACAAGAAAGGATATATATTCCCTTTCTCTACACTAAAGCCCAAATTTGACTTTATCTTTAATTGGATGATACTTCCTTTACTTATACGTAAAGTTACTAGTTTTCTATACTATACTCATCTTTTAATACCATTACTTGCATAGTAATGTACACCTACACATATTTACAAGTAATCGTGGTGTTATTTCATCGTCCATCTTTGTAATCATTTCATCTAACCATGTTACCTTTCTGCACTGAAAACCTTTATATCAATTCTAATTATTTCATATAAATGATTATATTGATTTTCTGAAAAACAAACACATATAACAAAGATGCACAAGTAGCCAGTTCGTTATGTACTGATAAAAAAGTGATAAGAAATACACAAAAACATGATCATTTAGTTTATAGTTCAAAAGGTATTCTATCCGGAATTTTGCTTGCATTATTTAGCGAAATATTTGCAAATTTAAGCATGATAAGCATAACAAAAAAATATACAGTTGTTATCGATGAACAATTTAAAAAAGATAAGTATAATTAGTAATAAAAGGTTTAATCATTAAACAATGTTATTGAATTCTTTTCCATTTTCAGATTACCTTCTTGTCATTCCAAAAACATTTCGTTAATGATACATGAAAGGATGAAAAGTGCAAAACGTATAATGTAATACATATAAATGAATATATAATAGTAATGCTACGTAAAGAAGTTAAGCAGTAATGCAACTTAGCGTGCATTGTAATGCAATGTGCAGCTTAGCATGCACTGTACTGCAGTGCAACACTGTGCCTTAGAATTTTGAATACAATCTGCTTTAGTAGATGCTATATATATACATATATATGTTTTCTAAATCTATCTTTTTGTGCACTTTCAAGTAACTGCAAAAATTGAACAGAAAAAAATTTCAGTTCCATATCGATGCTAACAAATTCATTCGCCCAGATTGATCGATCAATACTTGGTAATTCACCTTAATATACAATGAATAATAAAAATAGAAGGAAAAAAAATGATAATCACACTACATTCGTTGATAAAAAATAAAGAATTTTAATATTTGTTACAACATTTCATCAATAAATTTCATCAACACATTTTTTATGAATAGTTATTCCCATAAAACTTTATATTTGCTCCTTTAAAAACACTTTTTCCTTTCGTTTTACAAAATTTAATGAATCAGAGGATACTTTGGATTACACATACAAACACACACGCACAGAGACGTACACGCACACTTACAAATATATATATATAGACGGAAACACGTACACAAACACCAAAAACAAATGAACACGTACACGTACACATTACTGTTAACTGTATAGCACGGATACGTCTTCAGTAGGATAGGCATACATAAACGGAAACACGTAAACAAATACGTCAAAATAAATAAACTGAAAATAAATATGAAATAGACATGTAAACATATACGAACAATAATTGCATATTATAATGTTATCATATTTACGTAACAAACTGTACAGCACGGATACGTCTACAGCAAGATACGGATACATAAACGGAAAAACGTACACAAATACATCAAGAATAAATGAACACGTAAACGTATACGAACAAATATATACGTAAATACTAATTTCACCATATTTACTTAACAAATTGTACTGTACGGATACGTTTATAGCTATAGCTAAGTTATTCATTCTTTCACTTAGATTAAACCTTAATTACTTTCTAATGATAGAATAAATGAAGAAAACTGCTAAATGCACAATTATTAATTAATTCATTAAATTCATTAATTAAAAATCTCGCATGCATACCTGTCAATTCGTTTTCAATTAATTAAAAATACCTGTAACAAAGAAGAAATTACAAATTTTATATTAAAATGAAAATTAAACAAATCCATAACTCTCATCTCTAACTCTCCTCATTTTCCTCCCATTTTCCTCTTATTTTAATACTCTCACTGACTGTCTCTATTCAAATTGCGCAATATTTATCAATTTCTTCAACTATCTACCACCATTATATATCATAGTTCTCAATAATCTTTATCGTCTCCTAAGAAACCACAGTCTTTTTTGCATGAATGTAAATTTGTTGGACAATTTGACTTTGAGAGAGAATTTTTATTTTTTTAATTTTTGTTTAATTACAGCAATGAGTCATCGTCAATGTATTACGCATCGATTTTAATGATGAATGTATATTTTTATTGAAAGAAATGCATTTTTCTATATTTTATACTTTTTTTTTTTAGAAAAAAAAAATGAAAAATCAAAATTGAAATTCAGTTAGTATTATTTTTAGAATTTATTTATGAACAATAATTAATAAAACTTTATGATAAATATAATTTGTATGTGAATGATAATAAATAATAATAATGGCAATTGCTATCTTATCATACATTATCAATTTTTATCATTCATTCTTTTTTAATTTTTAAATTATTAATTTTTGTTTTTTTTTAATTATTAATTTTTCCTTTTTTTTTTGCAAATTAAAAATTTTTGTTTTAATTATTAATTAATATTAAAATTTTTTAATTTTTGTGATTTAAAAAAAAACTTTTAGATCAGTTTGTTGTTGCTTGGACATTTCTATTTCCAATTATTATTAATTCGATTTTTTAATTTTTTGCAAAAGTAATTGATGTTATTTACATTAGATTTATTGAAATGTTAGAAAAAAATTAATGGTAAAATACACAAAAGATTATCAATTCAGCGAATTTAAAATTGATCATTTTATTAATTTATTTTATTAATTCTATCATTCCTGATTTTTTATAAATGAATCGAAAAAGGAAATTTAATTTAATTTAAAAGGTATAATTTAGCTAATTGATCAATAAATCATCCTCTAAAATATATTTAGTGCAACTAACATATTTAATAGATTAATTAAGCAAGTTGTAAAAGTTTAATTAATACTATTAAAAATTCATTACACAGAAAAAAATTTAATTATTAGCTCTAAAATATTCCACAAGAAAAGTAATTATTTCAATGCTATCTAGCGAAGGAAAAAAAAAAAAAAAAAAAACAAAACAAATTATATTGCTTAAATGTATAGAATTTCTCACTAAATCGAAACTACAATTTAAGGAAAAAGGCATTTAATAATTTCATTAATTAACAAAGTGTTTAAAAAAAAAAAAAAAAATTAAAATTTAATTTAATAATTAAAAAGGAAAAAGGAAGAAAAAGATGAAATATTGCAATAATTAACATATAATCTTTCTATCAAAAAAAAAACCAATAAGAAATGAAATTTTTTTGAATCCAAAATGAAAATGAAAAAAAAATTTTTTTGTTGATCTTTTTTATGGAAGAACGAATGAAGAAGTAAGAAAATGAAATGAAATGAATTGAAATGAAATAAAATGAAATGAATTGAAATGAAATAAAATGAAATGAATTGAAATGAAATAAAATGAAATGAATTGAAATGAAATGAAATGAATTGAATTGAAATAAATTAAAATGAAATGGAATGGAATGTACTTTAAGAGGGAGAATTTAAGCAGTGAAAAATAAAAAGTTGAAAATTTCGCTTTATAGCTTAGAAAAAAGCAGGCAGAAAGGATTTATGCGTCATTTTTCTTTTCTCATTTCAAACTAATTTCATTTTTTTTTTTTTTCACTAAAGTAATTGAATGAAAAAATTTAAGCATCGATTAGTTAATTAAAATAGTTTTATTTTTAGAAATACGAAAAAAAAAGATGCAAAAAGTTTTGCAAGGTGGTAAATTAAATTAGTTATTAATCAATTATTCAATTGTTGGATTATTATCATTTATCATTTTAATTTTCTAAGAAAATACAATCATTAAAATGCATTGGTAAAAAGTTATTTATCAAATTGTTTTTTATTTACTTTTATATTTTTGTTTACTTTACAACAAATAGTATGATTGCAGTGGAAAGTTAAAAAAAAAGTTGATGAATTTTTCAATTTTGTGAAAATAAAAGCTTTTATCTCGCAAAAAAAAAAGAATTTATTTTTTTTTTGTACCATTTTAAACTTTGCTTAAAACATTTTAATAACAATTTAATCATCCCAAAAAAGTTTAAAAAAAAAGTTTAATTTATTAATTATATTATTTATAAAAAAAAAAAAGTAAAAAAAGTTTAATAAATAATTAAATTTAATTAATTATATTTAAAAAAAAGGTTTAATTAATTAATTATATTACTTAAGAAACTAAAAATTCTAATTAATATAAAGTCATAATACAGAATAATTTAAACTGTTAATTTAGTATATAAATAATCAATAAATATTTAAATTAATTGAATACGACATCGAAAAAACTGACTATTATAATAATTACTCAAATATAAATTAATAAAAAAAATTAATAAATTAATCACATTATTAAATTAATTAAATCTAATAAATAAATAATCAAATAAAATAAATGTAATAAATAATTGCAACTGCTGTAATTTTGAATACTGCAAAATCATAATGAAATAAATTATTCATTCAAATTGTAAAATTAATATTGGCAATACTATTTTTTTTAATTCGATTATTTATTTATTTGATTTATTATTTATTATTTTTAAATTGATTTTTTTACATTAAATGTTATAAATAAAATTTAATTTTTTTAAGAATTTAATTATTTATTTACGTTTTAAATTTTATTTCTGTTTATTAATTTATACCATTTAATCAATTTCTCATTTCTCATTAAGCAATTTTTTCATATGCGTGAAGATAAATTAATAAACAAATGAATTAAAATGTAAATAAATAAATAAACAAATTCTTATTAAATATATCAAATTTGTTTTTCTTTTTCACAATAAAAATAAATTTTTCTTTTTTTAATAATCATTTCTAATTTCTTTATAATATTGTATCTATGTTAAATAAATTATTAAAAAATTTATTTCTGATTATATTATATTTGTTAAATAAATTATGAAAAATAATTTCTGATTAATTTTCAGTTTACTAAAAGATGAGAAAAGTAAAAAATATTATAAGACAATTCAAATTTAATATTATAAAACAATTGATTGATAGTGATAAATAATGATAATATCATCCTGTAACAGTGATAACTTTAGATTGAAATTATATAATTTAGTAAATAGTTATCAAATATATTCGATTATTGCAATTTTCTATCATTTATAAAAATTGAGCTAAAAAATAAAATATGTAAGTAAATTTTAAAAAAATTTCATCTACTAAAGTTTAATTTGATAATCAGTATTATCATGTTAAATAGCAAAATGTTAATATATCACACAGATAAGTTGTAAATACATTTGTAAATATATTTGCATTGTTTTTAAATACAATTAGCAATTAAACAAAGGTTAAAGATTATTTTAAGCATAAAAGATAGTTGTAAAATTCGTATGACATTTGAACATTTTAATATACGATTTCGAATTAATCCATTATTCGAATACTTATTAAAATCATTAATATATATTTATTTATTATAGTCATTATTAAAATTATTACAATCATATTAATATTTTTATTATAAAATTATTAAATTTAGACTACTGCAAAAAAATTTATTAATTATTCTTAGTAAAATACTACTAACAAAAAGTAAGTGACAATTTATTGCTCTTTTAAAAACTTTTCTTTTTTTTTTTTGGAATATAAATTTGAATATTATCAATAAATTTCTTATCATTTTATCAACATCTTTCCTTGTTATTGATTGTTTTATTAATTAATTAAATTGATATAATAGAAATTGAACAAAAGATAAAAACACAAAAACAAGTGCAAAATAAAATAAGTATATAAAAATAAATAAATATAATTTATTCTACATATACACGCAAAAATATAATTTTATTCGAGATTAGAACATTCAGTTTATAATAAGTAAAGTTAATAACTTTTAAACTAAACAAAGTTATCATTTTGCTAGCATACAATAAATCTTTGTAATAAAAATAATACTTTATTTATTTTTTTTTTTTTTTTAAACAAATGAGAAACAAAGGAAAAATCATTGAAATGATAACATTTTTAAATTTTACAATTTCTCATAGAAAAAATTTTACAAAAAATTTTAAGAAACTGACAAAACAATTTTTAAAAAAAGGCGAAAAAAGGAATGAAAAAGTTTTAAAATTAAAATAAATTGTTGAAAAATGATGAAAATAAATGATACAATAACATTTTCAATATTTTTTGTTCTTTTACTAATTGTCTTTTCTCCTCAATTTTTGTTTTCAAAATATTTTGCTAAAACATTTTGTAATTTTGCTTTGTTCATTTATTTTTGTGCTTGTACAAGTATTATATTATTATTATTATTATTATTATTATTATTATTGTTATTTTATTACTACTATTATTATTATTGTTATTAAATGATTTATTTTAATGATAAGCAAGTAAATTTAAAGATATTTGTTTTAATAATTTTTTCTTTTTAAGAAAAAAAAAAAGTTTAGCATGAAATTTTCACAAATTACTTCAAACCATAATTTTTATAACAAAACATTTTATATGCTTTTTTTTTTTTTTTTTTTCACAATACAATGCATTCATAATTAATTATGACTTCACCATTTTGAAATTTTGCCATAAACTAACTTTTTGTGATTAATTAAACTAAAAAAAAAAAAGAAAACTACACTTTTTAAAAATGAATTTATTGTTTTTTTTTTTTGCTAATTACATTTAAATTATAATTTATTAATTGGTTTAAATATTGAAAAGAACTGCATTCATAAAGTATAAAAGTAAACAATCTGATATCTTCTAGGAAAAGCAATAATTCTCAGAAATTTATTTATTTCATTCTAAAATTTATTTATTTCATTCTAAATTAAATTTTATTTATTTCATTCCAATATTAATTCCAAATTTTATTGCACATTTCATTCAATAAAATTATCATTTTAAAAAAATTTTAAACTTTTATATGTATTTTTCAATAATTAATTCTAAATTATTAAATTAATTTATTGCAAAAAAAAAGAAAAAATTTAAAAAAAAAAATTAAATGAATTTATTAAAAATTAATAATAATCTTACATAACTAGTGTTAGTGCAGAAAGAAAGAAAGCAAATGAAAAGTTTAAGTGACAAAGAAATAAACAAAAATTAAGAACAACAAAAGGTCATCGATCAATGTGTGCCGTATATTCTTCCACTCCAATCGGTCGGTCCATTCGTCGTAATTAGCTGATCGATTCTTCCATTTCTTTTCTTGCGACTTTTTGACCTTTTGACCTTTAGATTTGAATTTAAAAAAATTGCCAATAATATTTATTATCGATTTTATTTTATTTTATTTTATTTTTTTAACAAACAATGATTCAGATCGATAAAATAATTGTTCATCTAGCAATTTATTACTGTTTCCTTTTCTTTTTTTTTAATATTTCATTATTGATTTTATTTCTATTTTTTTTTTCGTAAGCAAAATTTTTTTTTTTTTTTCGAATAATTTAGTAATAATTCATTTTTAAATTTTGAAGGTTATTGGAGGTAAACTTAATTAAATTTGAACTTCAATCATTTCAGTGAAATTAATTCAATAATGGTATGTTAATTCTTGTTTTTTTTTTCAAATATATTATTATATGTATAACGTTTTTCGATTCCTAAAATTCAATAATTAATAATAATAAATGATAATGATAATAGTAATAGCAATAATAATAATAATAAATGATAACAATAGTAATAATAAATGATAATGATAATAATAATAGTGATAGTAATAATAATACTAGTAATAATAATAATAATAATAATAATAATAATAATAATAGCAATAATAATTATTAATAATTTGAAAGCTCTTTTTCTTGTATTAATTTTTTTCTTATTATTTATTTATTTTTTATTTTTCTGTTTAAAAAGTGAAATGATAAACAGTATGTAAAAATATTTTCAATTTCTTACCAAAAAAAAAAAATCTTTTCCATTCTTTTTTTGTTTTCTTTCTTTTAATATTAATTAAAATTTAAATTGTCAAATTTTGTGTGTTAAAAATTTTTGATATTATATTTGTTGCAGGAATCAGTGCAAGAAACAAATAAATGTTTGGTACAGAAGAAAGTTACACTTGAACCATTCGTTATTAATGTACTCATTGGAACAATTATTGGTATTTCATTTGTTTTTTTTTTTTTTTTTAAACAACCAAAATTAAAATTAATTTAAGTATTATTATTATTATTATTGTTATTATTATTATTATTACTATTACCACTATTATTATTGTTATTACTTTCTACAACAGTTAATAAAGGACGTTAATAATAATTTTAGCGATTGTTTAAGAAAAGATAAAAATTAAAATTTTAAATATATTTAAGGTATATCATTGGAAACTCTTCCCAATCTATATTTAGAACCATATCATCGTGGATTCTATTGTAATGATTTAACAATTCAACTACCTTATAAATCAAGTACCATACCAACATCGATGCTTTTTACATCGATATTCTTTCTTCCGCTTGCTGGAGTATTTATATAATTCTTTTTTTTTTTTTTTTGAAATTAATAAATCGCTGAGTAAATAGGTAATATGGAAATTAATTAAATCTTATTTTATTTTATATGTACCATTATATTTACAATAATTATATTATATTTTGTTTGAAATAAATTTATTCATAGTAGATATTATCAACAAATATTTTATTATTTCTTCCTTTTTTTTTTGTTGCTTAGATAAATTTTTCTCAATTGATATTTTAATTTAAAATCTTTATATTTCGTTTTTTTTTTTTTTTTTTTTTATTTTGATAAAGTTTATTAATTATTTTTTTTTTTTTATGTTTTATACGAACAATATTTCATCAAATTGATATAATCAGGTGCAAATTATAATTTTCACTTTTCATTTTTCATTTACTTTAGAAATATTTTTTGATCTTTCTCAGTAAAAATTGTCTGAGAAATAGTTTGGGAATGAAAAAAGTGAAAAATGTTGGGAAAGAAGAAAAGTTTTTATTGCTTTTAGCAATTATGAAAAATATTTCATTAATGTGATGTAATTGTATTCAGTAACTTTCTCTTTGCAACAAGAATAATAGTAATAATAATAATAATAATAATAATAATAATAATAATAATGTATAATAATGATAATAATACAATAATGATATATAATAATCATAATAATATTTAATAGTAATAACATATAGTAATGATAATAATAATATATAATAATGATAGTATAATAATGATAATAACGATATTTAATAATCGTAATAATAATACCTAATAATAATAATAGTATATAGTAGTGATAATAATAATATATGATAATGATAATAATAATATATAATAATGATAATAATAATAACACTAATAATAATGATATTTAATAATCTTAATAATAATATTTAATAGTAATACATAATAGTGATAATAATAATACATAATAATAATAATCATAATAATTAATAATAACAACATACAAATAATTGCAAATAGTAATATTATTTGTAATAATATTACTCGTATGCAAATAGTAATATATTAATTGTAATAATATAACTAGTGATAATAATATTACTAATAATTAATGATAATAATTTTGACGATAATTACAATGATAATGATAGCGATAATGATAATAATAATAATAATAATATTAAATAGTAACTGAGTGATAATGATAGTAAGAATAAACAGTAATAAACAGCAATGATAACAATAAAAATAATTAAATAAAAATTTTTTAAATAAATTTCAGACTTTAATTACCGAATTATATCGTTCAAAATATTATAAAGAATCATATAGCTGGCGAGGTTTTAAATTCAATCAAATATTGGTGAATTGTTTCAAATATCATGGTTAATATTTAATTTTTTTCCTTCCCTTACAATTTTTGCTGTGTTTTTTTTTTTCTTTTTTTTTTTCTCAAACGAATGTAATTTAAAATATTTTCAAATTAATAAATTGTTTTTAGCTCTTTTTTTTTTTTCTTTTTTTTTTTTTTTTTTTAAAGCTAATAGAGCAAATATCTTTTTTTTTTTTCTTTTCACCTATTAAATTATAATAATACGATGAAATATTTGTTAAAATAATAATTTTTTTTTTTCTAATTATTTAATACTTTTTATGCATATATGCACATTTCTTTTTTGTTAAACTAAAATAATTTTAATTAATATAAATTAATTTTTATTTATTTATTTTGCAGCATATAATTTACTTGGCGTACTTCTGACACTTTTGCTTGCAATTCCAACAAAATTTATTGTTGGTGAATTAAGACCAATATTTTTGGATATATGTAATCCATCATATGATAATGTTTATTGTCATAATAATACCTATATTGTAAATTATAAATGTCTTGGCAATAATTATAATCAAACTGTCAAAGAAGCACGACTGTCATTTTTTAGTGGACATGCATCATTAGCAATGACAGCAGCAGTTTTCTTTATGGTACTTTTTTACAAGTATAATTTTTATTTTTAATAAAATAATATTTTGAAATCAGTTTCTTTTTTTTTTTTTTTTTTTGATTCAAATATTTTATTTGTAATATTTTTAATTTGATAAAAGAAAAACATACTTTTTTTTAATATATTATTAATTATTAGTAATTATTCAAAAAGGAAAATTATCATTTATATTAATTTGTTTAATATTTTGCATTTAAATACTTTTCAAAATGTCTTTTTTGATTTATTTATTTATTTTTTAAATCTATTAGTAAAAAAAAAAAAAAAAAAAAATTGTCACTGATAATGATAATAATTAGATTGTAATAATTACAAAATAATAATTAAGTTTATGTGCAATCACGAATTCCACATAATTTTTTTTTTTTTTTTATTCCATTAATAAAAAAAATTTATCACTGATAATGATTAGGTATATATGCAATCACGAATTCCACATAAATTTTTTTTTTTTAATCCATTAATAAAAAAAATTTATCACTGATAATGATTAGGTATATATGCAATCACGAATTCCACATAAATTTTTTTTTTTTAATCCATTAATAAAAAAATTTATCACTGATAATGATTAGGTATATATGCAATCACGAATTCCACATAAATTTTTTTTTTTAATCCATTAATAAAAAAAATTTATCACTGATAATGATTAGGTATATATGCAATCACGAATTCCACATAAATTTTTTTTTTTTAATCCATTAATAAAAAAAATTTATCACTGATAATGATTAGGTATATATGCAATCACGAATTCCGCATGGCGATGACTTAGTTATTATTATAAAGCCAATAATACAACTATTTGCGCTTGGCCTGGCCTTATATACTGGCTATACACGAATTATTGATGGTATGCATCATTTGCATGATGTAGTTGTGGGTTATATTGTTGGTGCATTAATTGGTTATATTACGGTTTGTTTGTTTGTTTGTTTTTCGTTTTAAATTAATTTTAATTTGTCAAAGAAAAAGAAAGAAAATGGAGGAAATATATTTCGAATAAATATTTCAATTAAAATTATTTAAAATTAAAAATTATTTCAAATTTTTAATTAAAAAGTATAATTTATTAGAAAATAATATAAAATGGTGAGGATAATAATATATTAAAAAAAATTATTATTATTATTATTTATCGAAAACATAATATGAAATGGAATAATAAACTTCAATTAAAAAATCACTCTTATTCAATATAAATTTCTGGGCTATATAATAATAATAATAATAATAATAATAATAATAATAATAATAATATGAAATAATACATGGTACATTCCCTTACTGAAATTATTCCAGGCGAAGTAATAATAATAATATATAATAATAATAATAATAATAATAATAATAATAATAATAGAATGAAATAAAATAAATGAATGTAAGCAAAAAAAAAAAGAAAGGAAAATTATTTTTATTTGATAATTTTATGTTAATTTTATTCAATAATTTCAGGCTAAATATATATCAGGATTAAAGATACAAATTGATCGAATAAAGAAAAATGAAATGGAAATGCAAAAAGTTCGACTTCCATTAATAACATTTGATGAAGCTATGAGAACTCATAAGACAACGAAACGTTGTTCGAGTTGAATCAATCGAATTATGATTATTTGATTAATTAATTATTTGATTTAATTATAATATTTACATATATATTGGTGTTTCTTATATTTTTGAATTAATTTGTTCGAATTCTTTTGTTTCAGCAATTGTACAAATTTACGACAATCATTAAAATATATTATAATTAATATATTTTTGAAATACATTATAATTAATATGTATTTTTGAGGAAATTAATCTTTTCAAAAAAAAAAAAAAAATTATTAATCGTTTTTTTTTTTTTTTAAAAAGAAAAATAGTTATTTAAATCTATGAGTGAAAATAAAAGCTTAAAATTTGCATAAAATTTTTTTCTTTTATGAGAAAAAATAATTCCTTTTCTCGATATTTTATATTTTTTTGAAAATAAATATAAACAATAAATAGTTGTAATGTATGAATTTTTAAATTCTTTTTTGTATTTATTTCTTGTTTTTTCTTGCTTTGCTGTACTAATTGATTAATAAAAGAAATTACAAATAATTTTATTAATTTAATAAAATATAATTGAAGCAAAAAAAAAAAATTTTTTTTTTTTTGAAAGTATAAAATTAAATTAAACAAAAGTGAATAGTAATTAATGATATGGAATATATATGTATAATTTTTTTTTTTTATAATTAAAATTAACATTTTATATGACATTGACGAAATTGTTTTTCTGGTGCATTACACGGTGAATTTTCTTCATCATCAATGTAACGATGTGGTCTAATAATACGTCGTCGACGTATTTGTTTACCATCGCCACATGTCACCGAGCATGGTGACCACATTGACCATGGTTTAACATGACAATTTTGAATTGCTAAAATAATAATAATTTTTAAATCATAATTAATCAATTAAAAAAAAAAGTTAAATTTAAGAAATTTAAAAAAGAAGTGAATCAAAAATTTTAAAAATATAAATTTAATTAATCAAAGAAAAAGAAAAAAAAAAAAAAAAAAAAAAAACGAATTAATCCATATTGTATTCCTAAACTTTATCTCAGCAAAAAAACACTTTCAATGACAGAATCAAAAGCAAAAAACTCAAAAAAAGAAAATTAAACAAAAAGTGAAAAATAATTTAAAATTATAAATTTTTAAGAAAGAAAGTTTTTTTTTTTTTTTAATTAAATTAAAAAATTCAAGTAAATTGAAAAAAAAAAAAAAGGTAAATAAAATTTAAAGAAAACGAATAAAACTGAATTAAAAATAAGATTTAAAAATTCAACGAATTAGAAAAAAAAAAACAAATATGTATAATTAATTAAATGCTCATAATTATGAAAGAGGAAAAAAAAAGAAATTTAATATTAAATAAATATTAAAAAAAAAAAAATAGAAAAATAAAAACAACTTTACCACATGGTCTTAATTCACAACGTAATTCTTGCACCATATGTTCAGGACATGAACGTCCACCGTTACGTGGAAATACCTAAATTAATAAAGTATGAATTATTTTAAGTTAAATTTAATTTAATTTATTTTAAGCTTAAAATAATTTATTTCAAATCAGTTTATATCATTCCATAATGCATTAAACAGTTAAATAATTAATGATAAAGTTAAGCCAAATATTCTACGATATAATGTATGGACTAAATTAAATTAAATTAAACTAAACTTAAATTTATTTTTTTTTTTAGTTTATATCATTCTGTATTGTATTAAAAAGTTAAATAATTAATGACCAAGTCAAATTTAAATAAACTTCTATATATAATAATATAATTTAATAATAATTTAGTTTTTATTAATAAATTTATAATTTAATAATAATTTAAAAATAATTTAAGTTGATCATTTTGTTTTTGCAGAAAAAAAACAAAAAAAAAAAAAAAAAAAACGGAAGTACGAACTTCAATTTGTCGTGAACGTTGTCGTTTACCTGAGCCACAGGTAGCTGAACAATTACCCCATGGTGTCCATTCTGAGATAACACAATCAACCGGTGGACCACCATCGTTTACCTGATCAACACCAAATTCGTTGACTAATTGGTGACCAGGTACTTAATATTATTACGATTAGTATCAATTCTAAATATTTTGATTACTTTTTTTTTTTCTCATTACATATACATTTTCAATATGTTAAATAAGTAAATAAAATATTATAAGCAAATAAATGAAATATTACTACATAAGTAAATAAGTAAAATATAGGTAAATATTACAAGTAAATAAGTAAAATATAAGTAAATATTATAAGTAAATGAGTAAAATATTGTTCATTTATTTTATCAATTATTAAGTGATTTTGTTTTTAATTATATTCATTCATTTCAATTAAAATTTAAACATTTAGAATGTAAAAAAAAAAAAAAAAAATGAATGTAAAGAAATTTTAAAAATAAGAAAAAAAAATAGTAAATGAAATTTTAAAATAAATTAATGTAAACAAAACCAACCAACTTCACCAATTGGATTTGCATAATACTCCAAACACATTCGTTTACATTCATTTTCAGTTTCAAATTGATTTCGATTACCTTTGCAACCGGTATAGATAAATCGTTCACAGCGTTTTAATTTTGAATTATACCAATAACGCGGAAATGTCCCAGCGCATTGTCCTTCTTGTTTCTCTTCCATACATATTTCTAAACAGAATTATATTTAAAATTATTAAATAATTTTAATTATTATAATGATTTGTTAGTAATTCTCTTCAAACATATACTTTACGAATAGTTAAAATTAATTATAATATTTCAAAAATAAAATATAAATATAAAAAATTAAAAAAAAAAAAAAATGAATGAAATTTCATATTTTCATTAAATTAGAAATAGCAAAAAGAAATTAACGAGAGATTTTATAATTGAGTCGTATTTGTTTTATTGTAAATTTTTTGTAATCAAAATATTTTGAATTATAATTGAAGAAAAAAATTTTGTTTGAAAAAAAAGAAAAGAAAATTTAGTATATTTTAATTTAAAAACATGAAACCTTTTGAATGAACGCTTAGTAAACGTCGACAAGTTTGTAATTGACAATTTTCTTTTTCAAGTAAATTAACATTAGCACAACGCTCTTCATGTTCAGCGTAAAAGAGTAGACGTGTTCGAACGTGAACTCCGTCATCACATGACGCACTACATGGTGACCATTCACTCCATGATGTTGCACGACAAAGTGGATCCGGTGTTACACTACAATCATCCCCATTATCACCTGAAAAATGTAAAATATTTCACACTTCATAAATACCAATTATCATTATCAATATTATCATCATCGAAATCATTACTATCAAAAAAAAACTTTTTTTTTCAATCAGTTAGATATATGATAATGATCTGGATATGCAACTGATAATTATAATGTGTGATGATATCCGGATATACAACTGATAATTATAGTGTGTGATGATATCCGGATATACAACTGATAATTGTAGTGTGTGATGATATCCGGATATACAACTGATAATTGTAGTGTGTGATGATATCCGGATATACAACTGATAATTATAGTGTGTGATGATATCCGGATATACAACTGATAATTGTAGTGTGTGATGATATCCGGATATACAACTGATAATTATAGTGTGTGATGATATCCGGATATACAACTGATAATTATAGTGTGTGATGATATCCGGATATACAACTGATAATTATAGTGTGTGATGATATCCGGATATACAACTGATAATTATAGTGTGTGATGATATCCGGATATGCAACTGATAATTATAGTGTGTGATGATATCCGGATATACAACTGATGATTATAGTGTGTGATGATATCCGGATATACAACTGATAATTATAGTGTGTGATGATATCCGGATATACAACTGATAATTATAGTGTGTGATGATATCCGGATATGCAACTGATAATTATAGTGTGTGATGATATCCGGATATACAACTGATAATTATAGTGTGTGATGATATCCGGATATACAACTGATAATTATAGTGTGTGATGATATCCGGATATACAACTGATAATTATAGTGTGTGATGATATCCGGATATACAACTGATAATTATAGTGTGTGATGATATCCGGATATGCAACTGGATATACAACTGATAATTATAGTGTGTGATGATATCCGGATATACAACTGATAATTATAGTGTGTGATGATATCCGGATATACAACTGATAATTATAGTGTGTGATGATATCCGGATATACAACTGATAATTATAGTGTGTGATGATATCCGGATATGCAACTGATAATTATAGTGTGTGATGATATCCGGATATACAACTGATAATTATAGTGTGTGATGATATCCGGATATACAACTGATAATTATAGTGTGTGATGATATCCGGATATACAACTGATAATTATAGTGTGTGATGATATCCGGATATACAACTGATAATTATAGTGTGTGATGATATCCGGATATGCAACTGGATATACAACTGATAATTATAGTGTGTGATGATATCCGGATATACAACTGATAATTATAGTGTGTGATGATATCCGGATATACAACTGATAATTATAGTGTGTGATGATATCCGGATATACAATTGATAATTATAATGTGTAATAATAATCCGGATATACAACTGGTAATTACAATGTTTGATAATAATCCGGTTGTACAACTGATAATTATAATGTGTGATAACAATCCGGATATATATTAACGATAATTAGATTTTATGATTTTTTTTATCAAATGTTATTTTTTATTTATTCTTACATTTTATTTTTTATTCAGTAATTTTATTTATTCTTACAAATGATAAAATTTTATACTTAATAATTTATTTTCGAAATGAATTAATAAATATATGTTTTAATAGAAATACTAGAAATTTTCTACACATTTTTTTACATTTTTAATTTCAGAATATCTATAATGTAACATTTAATGGATTACTGTTTCATTCAAAAATTAAAAAAATCAATAAAATCAATAAATCGATAGAAAAATCAGTGATGATTTTTCTAATTTCATCTAGTTATAAGTAATGATTTTTTATAAATTTATGTTAATTTATATTTTT